GGGGTTTTATCTTGGTCCTTCATTTGGAACATATTCCTCAGTCACCTCATTTTACTAATTCACTGTTTTTATTTCTATATATTTGTACGTTGGTTACATTTCCCAATCTTGGAGAAATGACCTTTTGTAGGAGATGTCCTATGTCCCAGCAGCACACTCCCCTATCATCACTGGAGCTATATGCTCTAGGGGTGCCCCCATGTGTGCTGTGTGGGCCCTTCTGTTGTGGCAGGCTGACTACTATGGGTGGGCTGGTAGGCATGGCTGGCCCTCAGTCCACTTGGCTGCTAGTCCCTGCCTAATGTGGTGTCTGCTCGCCACTGGTGGGCAGGGCTGGGACACAAGGTGGCTGGCTGTGGAGCCCCAGGAATTCCAGGCCTAGTTCTGGCCCACTGGTGGTTGGAGCAAGGTCCCAGGGTGGCTGGTTGTGGGACCAGGGGTCCCAGAGCTAGAGTCAACTGCTGAGAAGTGGGACCAGTTCCTGACATGGCTAGCTACAGGGTCTGGGGTGTCCCAAAGCTGGTGTCAGCCCACTGATGAGTGTGGCTGGATCCCAGAGAGAGTGGCTGAGGGGCCTAAGATGTCTCAGAGCTGATGTCAGCCTGCTGGTGGGCAGGGCTGGGGCCCAGGTGTTCACAGGGCTAGTGCCAGCCCACTGATGGGCAGAGATCATTCCTGGGGCCTTTGGCTGCAGGTTCTCATTCCTTGCTAGATTTAATTCTAGCTACCCTCTTGAAAAACTGATCCAGTGATGTCTGGGTAGTAGCCCTTTTTTTTTCTCATCAGAGATGACACAGTAGTCCTGGATTGCACTCTGAACGGCTGCTGCAGCCTTTGTGTACCAATCTACGTTCAGATCCTGTGCCTCAAAAACTAACAGTGCCTCCTCAAGTAAGGAAAATCCCCTTGCCATTTCCTGCATCATGAAACTCTTCAGTTCTTCAGTTACTTCTTCTTCGTCTTGTTGCTCCACTCTCTCAATTATTTTCACTTTTCTTTCCGTCATTATCGCTTGGCGCTTCTTAGTACCAGATACATCACTGCTGCTTTTATGCTTGCTTCCGGACATCCTGGGCTTGAAATAAAGATACTGTACTACTGTATTCTATATAGTATGTACAATAAAGTACACAAAAGCACAACCACTTGTAGAGGATGCACGCACGTGACGATGTATGCCAAACACATGAACTAACTTACGTGATTGGACATCCAAAAGCATGTTCATATCTTTGAAAGTTCGCAACTTGAATGTTCGTATGTAGGGGACTTTCTGTACATCAAAATTTAAAACTGTGCATCAAAGGAAACAATCAATAGAACGTGAGAAGATATTTGTGAATCAAATAACTGATAAGGGTTTAATACCTAGAACATATAAATCAATCCTACAACTCAAGAACAAAAAGACAAACATCCCAATTTAAAAATGGGCAAAGAGGGCTTCCCTGGTGGTGCAGTGGTTGGGAGTCTGCCTGCCGAGGCAGGGGACACGGGTTCGTGCCCCGGTCTGGGAGGATCCCACATGCCGCGGAGCGGCTGGGCCCGTGAGCCATGGCCGCTGAGCCTGCACGTCCCAAGCCTGTGCTCCGCAACGGGAGAGGCCGCAGCAGTGAGAGGCCCGCGTACCGAAAAAAAAAAAAAAAAAAAAATGGGCAAAGGGCTTAACTAGACATTTCTTCACAGATGATATACAAATGGCCAACAAGCATACGGGAAGATGCTCAACATCATTAATCATAAGAGAAATGCAAATTAAAACCACAGTGAGTTATCACCTCATACCAATTTGACGGTTACTATTGCAAAACAGAAAATAATGTGTTGGTGAGGAGGTGGAAAATTGCAATCCATGTACACTGTTGTGAGATTGTAAAAATTGTGCATCTGTTGTGGAAAACAGTATGGTGGCTCCTCAAAATATTAAAAACTAGAAATACCATATGATCCAGCAATCCTGCTACTGGGTATATATCCAAAAGAATTAAAAATGAGGTCTCAAGGAGATATTAGTACACCCATGTTCATAGCAATATTCATCATAGCCAAGAAGTGGAAGAAGCCCAAGTGTCCATTCATGCATGAATAGATAAACTAAATGTTTTATACACATGCAATGGAATATTATTCAGCCTGAAAAAAGAATGAAATTCTGACACATGTTACAACATGGATGAACCTCAAAAACCTGTGCTATGTGAAATAAGCCAAAAACAATTTTTGTATGATTCGGGACATACGTTCCCAGGCAGCAGCAGCTCCTGCAAGGTCTCACCTCAGTGCCTGGAGAATGCCTCTGTATTCCAAGGCACAAAGCCACACTTTCTCTGGATCTTTCTTTGACTCTTTACATACAGGACCCATTTTTCTTTCCATTGTTTTGGAGGATGGCATGAACTTTAACTGAAGGCTTGTCTGTGATTGTCATATTACTTCTGATCTTGTTTGTGTCTTCCACTGACCTGGACCTCATTGAGGACAGGGATTAAGACTTTCTTCTGTGACTCTCTAGGGACCTGATGGTGCTGTCCAATTTAGTAGTCACTAGGTCCATGTGACTACTGAGCACTTGAAATATGGCCACTCCGAATAGTGAGTGATGTAAGGGAGAAATAATCCCTGTATTCTAAGACATACTTTGAAAAATGAATGTAAAATATTCGACTGTTTTATGTTTATTACATCTTTAAGTGATATTATTTTGAATATATTGATTAAAATGCATTATTAAAATTAATTTGAGCTGTTTCCTTCTGCTCTTTTAACGTGGCTCCTATAATATTTGAATTTTTTATTGACTTGTAATATATTTATGCTGCATTGTTAGTCAAGGGTATATAGTAGATGCAGAATTGATGAACTGGCTGATGCCAGGTAAAATGAATTTCCCCATTTGGATTCTGTTGATGGCCAAAAGAGGAGTCTCCCAGTCACCACTGCCAGCCCCTGGGAATCCTGTGGGGATTCATTTACCAGATTTTCTCTCCCTTCCCAGGATACCATGTATCAGAAGGTGGAGAAAACTGTATATCCTGTACAAATGGAGTGGACTTTACTAATCACTGGAATATGCTCCCTTCCTGCTTACCATGTACAATCTGTAAATCAGGTACAGAACATGGGGACCCATAACAAGTGCAGGCATGATGAGGTGGGAATTGTATCCAACATGGAATCAGGACATCTGGATTCCAATTCCAGTCCTTCTTGGTCTTCATCATACCCTGTTTTATGATTATGTCTTAGGTCAATACAAAAAATAGAAATTATTTTTATAATGCATGCCACATAGTATGTAAATCTTTTAAATCATCAGATGAAAGTGGTGGGAAAGTAATCTGTCCTTTGATGGGGGAGAGGGATGGGATATGTATAGTTACAGCATAAGAAAAGGCCTGGCCAAGTGGAAAAGTGCTAGGTTTGAGCTTTGACGTGGGTCTAGTCCTGGGCCAGGCCCCTCTTAGCCCTGTGCTCTGTGCTCCTGGCAGAGACTTGGCCTCTCTCAGCCTTTACAACTTAGGGCCCCTCTACCTCTCCAGCAGGGCTAGGTTTTGGGAAGTCACCCAAGGGTTCCTCTCCATCCAGGGTCTCTCAGATTATACCTGGCCCTTCCTACTGACCCTGTGAGCTATAAGATTTCCCTCCTTGTCCTAATGCATTAAATAATGAATCACGGTCCTTTTCTCACACCTCTGAGTATTGGTGACAGGTGAACAGGGGCTGTCCTTTATGTGCCTCACATGTGTTGCTGCAGAATTTGACCCCCAAAGCTACAGTGAACTGAGGAGAGCTGAGTGGGTGGGTGTTTGGTTGGTGAAGAAGGGTCGAGGGTCACGCAAGGGAAACACATCCCCAAACCTTATCCTTTGTCTTCAGGTGAAGAAGAGAGGACCCCTTGCACGGCGACTAAGGACACACAGTGTCAGTGCAAACCTGGAACTTTCCATGAAGAAGACTCACCTGAGTTCTGCCAGAAGTGCAGCACTGGGTGAGACGTGGGAGCCTAGGTGGTTCCCAACAGTTCAAGGGAAACACTACAGAGCCTCGCTTCCGCCCCAGGGAAGCTTCCGTCCCTGTGCTGGTGGGGTCTCCTGAGCCTGCAGCAGCCCCTCCCCATCCATCTGCATGTCCCTGCACTGCCCCCTGCATCTTCCCACACCTCCTTAGCACCGCTTCCCTTTGGCCAGGTCGGCTTTTCTATTGGACACAATAGGCCACTGATTAGATCCATGATGCAGTCAACAGAAGTTTTAATTTCTTTAAAAAAAAGATATCAAGAGGGGAAAAAATGAGTAGAATGCAGCTGGGCTTATATTCATCTTTATAACAATTCAGTCATAAAATGGAATCTTTAATATTTTTTATGCAGGAAAGGGCCCATGAATACAAAAGTGCCCACAGCCAAGTCATAATAAGATTGAGCATGTAGCTCCTTCAAGGTTCCTTTAAAGCCCTGAGCCAACTCAGCTGACCTCACATCCAGCCCTCATTCCCCCAATAAGAGGGAATGAATCTTTCCTATTTAGGGACATAGGGGCCAATAGTAATTTGCTCTCCTCTGACGCTCCAGTGCTGGCTGCGATTGGTAGGAAGAGTCAACAGGTGGAGGACAAGAGGATCCTTGTATTAAAGCTTGACTGGAGGATGAGGCTTGGCTTGTGCCCAAACCCTTCTGACCCTTGACTTGGATGAGATGCCCCCTCACATAGGCTTCCCCTGCAGCCCAGGGAGGCCAGTGCAGGCCTTGCAGAGAAGGCCCAGCTCCTGAAGGGGCAGCTCTGAACACTCAGCAGGAGCCCTGGGGGCTGGAGTGCACAAGCCCAGATCCTTCTCCCCAAAAAGGGGGACTGAAGGGACCCTGCCCTGAAGACAGTAGGAGCCCATCCCTCCTCCACTGTCTTGTCAGGGAACACTGGGTGAGAGATTGTTCCCTCTTTCTCCTCATCTGGCCAGCTTTCCCTGACGGATCCCCTCCATGTCCTCCCTGTGTCTGTACCCAGGTGCCCTGATGGGATGGTTATGGCCAAGCCCTGTAACCCCTTCAGTGACCTCAAATGTGTGGACCAAAAATCAGGTACCCAGGCCAGTGGGGAGGCCCCGGTTCCTAGTGAGACAGTGACCATGCGCCCAAGACTGCCCACCACTCCCTCTTCCTCCTCAGACACTTCACAGCTGGTGATCACAGTTGTAGCTGTAATTACACCTGTCTGTCTCCTGCTGCTGGTGCCGATCGCATATGTTTTCTGGCGGTTCTGCATTCAAGGTGAGGTTCTGGGAGGGAAGGGGGAGGTGCTGGCCCCCTCCTCCATCTCCCCAGTCCTCCTGGCTTGGCTCTGATCTTGTTCCCCGGGATCCCCCTCCACCTCCCACCTCACCTGCTCCTACGAAGCCGGGATCGCATGAGTCCCCCATCTCAGCGACGGTCCCCTCTTCCCCCTGGCCAAATATGGTGGGCGGGGAGCAGGGTCAGTTCTTAATGTCTTTAGGACCCCCAGCCAGGGCAGAGAGGTGGTCAGCACCTTGACTGGGTGACAAGAGTCAGGGGAGAGGGTCGTTCAGCAGAACCCCACAGAGATTTTACATGGGTTTCATTTTCCCCCTTCTCTTCTCCCTCCCCGAGGGTTCTCCAGGTTTGGAATGGCCCGCTCCCTGTCACCAGGCCCGGGGCTCCTTGTTCAGTGTCTGAGCCCCCAGCCCACAGTCCCTGGCACTGTCCCTGGGGAGGGAGGTGCTGCAAGAGGGCGCTCCCCACGGCTCAGGCGGATGCCTCTTCTCTTCTAGGTCGTGGTGTGGACCCTAAGTGCATGGACAGGGTGAGTTGGTTTCTCCAGGACCTGGTGGCATCAGGCCCTCGGTAACTGCTTGGCCCTGGGTGGACACGGTCCCCAGTTTGTCCTATGCTGTTGTCCCTGGCTCTCTCAAGTGGCCTGAGGGCTCTGGGCTGACAGTAGGAGAGCAACTGGCCTGTTGAGAGCAGCTCTAAGGCTGGTTGGCAGTGCTAGCCCTGTCCCTCTTCCTGCTTGTGAGACGCCCTCACCCCATAACCCTGGATGCACCCTGCGGTATGGGGGGGTGTCAGGCAAGGGTGCTGAACCCCCCTTAGCACAGCACTAGGGTCCTGGTGCCATCAGCAGAGCCCTGGATGTGTTGAGTCTGTGCCCACCTGGGGGGACACAGCATGGGAGTAGGTGGGGAGGCAAAACCCACAATGTCCCCCGCAGACACTACATGGATCTGTGGGTATGGATTCCTGAGTCAGCTCTTTGCCTTCCCAAGGTCTTTTTCTGCTGCTCCTGTCCCCCAAGAGGTCCTGGGGCTCTGGACAATGCCCATAACAACATGCTGATCAACAGAGATTTGCTGTCCATTCTGGTGCCCAAGAAGGACCTAGAAGACCAGGAGCAGGACAAGCTGACAGGTGTCATGGTACAGTCTCCAGTGGAAGCAAAGCATTTACTGGTGAGTGTGTGGTGAGCTTTCTTCTTGCCCAGGACTGAAGTAGAAACAGAGAAAGACCAATGTTGGTCAGGTCTCCTGTCCCATGGGGAAGTGGTGATAGAGGGATATCAGGGTCCTGAAGGGGAAAGGAACCTGCTACCCTGATATGGTAGACTGTCAGCTCTATGCAATATTGTGCTGTTTATTATCTGTCCAGTTCTCACTGTTTCCTCAGTCTAGAACAAGGAGGCACAGAGTGGGCACTCCCATATTTGTTGAATGATTGAATGAGGGCTGCATACTATTCCACTGCATAGTTGTAAAATAATATAGTAAGCCATTCCTCCTAATAATAGGAATATCAAATTTGTTACAAAATTATTATTACACTGAACATACATGAAAATAAATCTTAGTCCTGGGCTTCCCTGGTGGCGCAGTGGTTGAGAGTCCGCCTGCCGATGCAGGGGATACCGGTTCATGCCCCGGTCCGGGAGGATCCCGCATGCCACGGAGCAGCTGGGCCCGTGAGCCATGGCCGCTGGGCCTGCACGTCCGGAGCCTGTGCTCCGCAATGGGAGAGGCCACAACAGTGAGAGGCCCGCATACCGCAAAAAAATAAATAAATAAAAAATAAATCTTAGTCCTGATAGCTGATCATATTTGTATAGTGTCTTCTTAGAAGAAGTAGAATTTTGGGGTCAACTTGTAGAAGTGCTTTTCTACTGTCTACACACACATGCACATCCAGTTTGGGTTCATATCTGTTCATCAGTTTTGACAGTGAGTAGTCAACCTGTGCAAACATTTCTCATTCTTCATAAGGTTGGAAAGTCATTCCCCACAACATAAGATGAAATTCTTTAATTTCTTAGAGTTTTTAAATTTAATGATGATTTTTAGCATTTAACAATTTTAGCTAACTGGAATTTATTTTGTGATATGATATGATGTGAGGAGCTCCCTGAATTCTGAGTCACTGTCTCCTTCCTATAACCCTATTAAGCAACTGCTTCTCCCACTTCCCTCTGTTTTAGGCCTCTCCTTTATCACATGTGAAATATTTATACGGACAATGATCTCTTTCCATCTAGAGTGTTCTTTTTGGGGTTTTTTTCCTGCATTGACAGTTGACCCTTGAACAAAGCTGGGGATAGGGACACAGACCCTCCAAAATCCACATGTCTGTGGCTCTGCATCCTCAGGTTCAACCAACTGTGTATCATATAGTACTGTAGTGCATATATAGTGAAAAAAATCCACATGTACATGGACTTGTGCAGTTCAAACCCTTGTTGTTCAAGGGTCAACTATATACTGCATTCTTTTTAAAGAGAAAGTATAAAAGGAAGCAAACAAACAAAAAAGACAAATAATCCCCCCATCTTGATTAATCACTTTTCACATTTTTTCACAGTAGTTAATACATATCCACAGTGAGAAAATTTAAACAGTATAGAAAGTTTCTCAGTGAGTCATGAAAGCCTCATCCTATAATCTTTCTCTAGCCACTTAGTTCTTTTTGTTTCAGGTAACTATGAGGTATAATTTTCTCTGATTCTTTGCTGAAATTGTTATGCATACTATATACTATACCAACTATATATGCATACTATATACTATACCAACAAAACTGTTTAGTATGTTTTAATATCTGAGAGAGCAATACCTCTTACTTTTTCAAAATTTATTGTTTACCCAGATAAAATTTAGAATTATTTTATAAGATATCCTCCACACCTAAAAAAATTATTGAAATATTTTGTATTACCTTAAATTCATAAATTAATCTAGGAAGAATTAAGATCTTGTTAATATTCAATATTACTCTTATCAAAGAAGATAACATTGAGAGATTAAACATAATGGTGGAGTAGAAAGACCCTGAGCTCACCTCCTCTCACAGGCACACCAAAATTATAACTATTTACAGAGGAACTATTGGTGAGAAATACCAGAATCTACCAGAAAATATCTTCTACAACTAATGATATAAAGAAGGAACCACAAGATGGCTGAGACATAGTACAGTAAAAACCCATATTGCCGGGTGATCAACCCACAATTGGGAGGCTAATTACATTTGCAGAGGTTCTGCCCAAGGAGCAAGGAATCTGAGCCCCACATCAGGCTCCTCAGCCCAGGAGTTCTGCACCAGGAAGACAAGCCCCTAGAACATTTGGCTTTAAGGCCAGTGGGGCTTACTTTCAGGAGACCCAGAGGTCTGTGGGATATAGAAACTGCATCTTAAAGGGTGCACATAAAATCTCACAACCACTGGGACCCAGGGAAGAGCAGAAATTTGAAAGAAGTCTGGGTCAGACCTACCTGCTGATTTTGGAGAGTCCCGGGGAGGCAAGAGGCAACTGGATCTCATCCTGGGGACACTGACACTGCTGGTAGCAATTTGGGGGAGTTCATTCTACCACATGGACTCTGGTGCTGGCAAGCACCATTTTGGAATTCTCCCTCTAGCTTATTAGCCTTGGGATCCAGCCCTACCCCCACCCACCAGCCTATAGGCACCAGCACTTGGATGCCTCAGGCCAAGCATCTAGGCAAGCAGGGACACAGCCCCACCCACCAGCAGGCAGCCTGACTTAAGACCACCTGAGCCGACAGTTGCCCCTGGACGTCCTTGTCCACCAGTGGGCCCGGGACCCAGCCCTGCACACCAGTGTGTGGGCACTAGTCCCAGGAAATCATAGGGCCCTGCAGCCAGAGACCCAGCTCCACCCACCAGTGCACAGACACCAGCCCCAGGATCTACTGCACAGCAGCCCCAGGAACACTGCAGCCCCTCAGCTGCCTTGTCAGGACCCAACCAATACATCAGCAGGCTGGCATCAGCTCTGGGACCCCACTGGGCTCCAGCCATGCACAACAGCAGGCCAACTACAGGCCAAGGGGACACCTTGAGCCCCTCAGCCAGTGGCCCCAGGATCCAATCCCACCCACTAGTGGGCTGACACCAGCTTTGGGACACCCACAGCTCTGCATCCAGAGATCTCAGGATCTGGTTCTGCATACGGGTGACTGGCACTAGCCCTGATAACCCCTGAGGGGGACCACATCAACATACATTGTAATTAAAATAGCAAAAATTAAGATAAAGAGCGAATATTAAACCACAAGGGAAAACAACAAGAAACATACAAGGGAACTCCCATAAGGCCATGAGCTGACTTTTCAGTAGAAATTGCAGGCCAGAGGGAGTGGCACAATATATTTAAACTGTTGAAAGGGGAAAACCGACAACCAAGTATACTCTAACTGGCAAGTCTCCCATTCATATTTGATGAACATATCAGAAGTTTTACAGACCTAATGAAGCTAAAAGAGTTCAGCACCACCAAGCCAGATTTACGAGAAATGTTAATGGGACTTCTCTCAGTGGAAAAGAAGAACCCACAACTAGAAACACAAAACTTACAAAAGTAAAAAGTTAATTGGTAAAGGAAAATACACAGTAAAGGTAGTAAATCAACCACATACAAAGGTAGTAGGAAGGTAAAAAACAGAAGTAGTAAAATTATCTATATACACAATAAGTAGTAATGAAATATAGAAAACAAAATGATATAAAATATGATGTCAAAAACAGAAATTGAGGCACAAGAGGAATAAAAAAGCAGGGTTTATAAAATTCTTTTGAAATTAAGAGATCAGCAAATTAATCACACAAATACATACAGATAGTTTGATTATATAAACCTCACGGTAACCAGAAATCAAAAATCTATATTACATACACACAGAAGAGAAAGGAATACAAACATAACAATAAAGAGAGTCATCAGTCACAGGGAAGAGAACAAAAGAAGAAAAAAGGAAAACTAAAAAGAATTACCCCCCAAATCTGAAAACAATTAACAAATGACAATAAGTACACACTTATCAATAACTACTTTAAATGAATAAAGACTAAATGCTCCAATCAAAAGACATAGAGTGGTTGAATGGCTACAAACCAAGATCCATATATATGCTACTTCCAAGAGGCCCACTAGCTCTAAAGACACACATAGACTAAAAGTGAGGGGGATGGAAAAAAGTATTCCATGCAAATAGAAATAAAAAAAAATCCAGGGTAGCAATACTTATATCAGGCAAAATAGACTTTAAAATGAAGACTGTAACAAGAAAGAAAGAAAGACATGACCTAATGATCAAGGGATCAATCCAAGAAGAAGATATAACAGTAGTAAATATATATAGATTCAATATAGTAGCACCTAAATACATAAAGCAAATATGAACAGACATAAAGGGAGAAATTGACAGTAACACAAGAGTAGGGGATTTTAACACTCCACTTACATCAATGGACAAATCATCTGGACAGAAAATCAATAAGGAAACACCGGCCCTAAAAGACACATTGGACCAGACGTACTTAATTGACATATATAGAACATTCCATCCCAAAGCAGCAGAATATACATTGTGCTGTACAGAAGTGCTCCTGGAACTTTTCTCCAAGATGGATCATATACTAGGCTACAAAACAAACCCAATAAATTTAAGAAATTTGAAACCATATCAAGCATCTTTTCTGACCACAACGCTATAAGACTAGAAATCAACTAGTAGAAAAATAAACTGCAAAAAACACAAACATGTGGAGCCTAAACAGTATACTGCTAAGCAACCAATGGATCACTGAAGAAATCATAGGAGAATTTAAAAAATATCCGGAGACAAATGAAAATGAAAACACCATGATCCAAAAATCTACAGGACACAGCAAAAGCAGTTCTAAAAGGGAAGTTTATAGTGATATAAGCTTACCTTAGGAACCAAAAAACATCTAAAGTAAACATCCTAACCTTACACCTAAAGGAACAAAAAAAAAAAAAAAAAAAAAAGAAGAAGAAATAAAATCCAAAATAAGTAGAAGGAAAAAACATCCTAAAGATCAGAGAATAAATAACTGCAATAGAGACTAAACAAAAAAATAGAAAAGATCAATGAAATTAAGAGCTGGTTCTTTGAAAAGAAAAGGAAAATTGAGGAACCTT